CGCCTAACACGTTCCCTGCCGTTAACGGGACGATTTCCTGGAACCTGATGACGGATAACTTAACGGCGTTAGAATTTTTTTCTGCGAATGTCGATATGTTGAGGGGGGTTTATCTGTAATTTGTTTGTGATGTGAGACTGTGGTCTCATCAGCTGATAAGGATATTCACGATTCAGTGGCTGTAGTCACATCACTCTGTTCCTCGAATTGAAATTGTGAGTAGAAAAGTCTTTCATATAACTAAAAACAGTTGTTTACAGTACGAAGTATAAAAAATGTCTGCTTGACCTTTTGAAGCTTTTGCATTTTTGAAGCTTTGTCTAAATTTCATACGTAGCTTGTTAACACATGAATACAATGTGAAATGTTGACATTATTTTTGAAATTGCATTTTATGCCCAAATACATTGCAAGTACTTAATTTTTTCGTATGATATGTTAGAGCATCTCCAACAGCTTCCCCGTTTCCCACTTTTGGAGAATTTAGTTAGGTTTTTACTCTAACAGATTCTCCATCTCATTCCCCAAAATAGGGATGGAGGAGAAAAAATTGGGAAGCTTTCCCAAATCTGTAGCATTCTCTAAATTTTTGGAGGAAAAAATAAATTCTTCAAAATGGGGAAGCTGTTGGAGTTAGTGTAAAAATAATTTGGAGAATATGACTTTTGCTTCTTATTTTGGAGAAAATTTTAGAGAAGCTGTTGGAGATGCCCTTACAAGCCAAAACTTGTTACATGTATTAATAAAGAAAAAAAGGTATTTGGATCGTGTACTATCTATACTATACATCCATATCGATCACAACATTTTTTTAAAAAATGATAGTATTCTTCTTTCTATTTTGCCATAGGGGCTGTTTGGTTCATTTCCTAGAAACCTAAATTTGGGAGATTACTCATGGGAAATAGGTTGTGGGACCAATTTTTACGTTTTTAAGCCCATTTCATGACTTTTTGGGAGGAAATGAGTTTCTTTAAATACGGTACTCATGACACAATTATCTTACTAGTGGGTGTGTCTTACATGCACAACATTTTTTTTTTTCATTCTCTCAACCAAACACAAGAAAAGAAAATCAAACACCTTCACATAAGCATTGAGTGTTTTGATTTCATTTTTTTAGTTTCTCAGCCAGCCAACAGCCCCGTAA